GAGTTGAAGATGTAGTCTGAAACGGTGGTTTTAGAATTTGCTCATCTCCTGTGTCCCCCCCCGCCTTTTTTTTGAAGTTTAATTAATTGAGTTTTACTGTGGTATAATGTACATACCATAAAATTCCTCATTTTAAGTGTACAGATTAAGTATTTTTAGAAAATTTAATGAGTAATCATCATATTAGAACACTTCCATCATGTCCCTGAAAGTCCCTTATTGCAGTCTTGCCCTGAGCCCAGCCCCAGAGAGCCATCAATCTATTCTCTGTCTCTATAGGTTTACCTTTTCTGTGTCACAAGTGTGGAACCTCTGTTTTTTTTTTGTTTGTTTGTTTGTTTGTTTGAGTAGACTTCCAGCCAGTCCTTTTGTCTTGGCATCATCTTTGCTTCTCTTCCTCTGGCACCCTGGCAGCCAGTTATGAGCCTCTGGGTGGATGGGGACTTATATGTAAGTCAGATTGTTTTAACCACTGCCAGTTTTATTTGTTGTTGTCTAGTCTCTAAGTCATGTCCGACTCCATGGACTGTAACTTGGGGTTCAGTTTTCTGGGTGCACTAAGTCAGCACACATTTGTTTACCTGCTCACCAGTTTCCAAAATGCCGTTGATACCTCTTTCCCATTCTTTTTTCCCTTGTGGGTTTTTACCTTTAAAACAACAAACCAAGAAACACTGGTGTCTTTTTAATGGGGTTTCGGGAGTGTGTATGGGGTGGAGCGGGCAAATGCATGTGTGCAGTCTACTATCATCTAGAACTGGACATCTTCCCAATAATGTCGATTTGCATTTTTCATCATTTAAGGTTGCCAAAAGTCTCAGTTTAGAGTTTCTTGGAGTTTATTGTTCTCAGGAATGCAGAACTCTTGACTTCTCAGGTATAGATGTTGCATCACCCACATGTTGGTCTTTTCTAACAATGGCCCCAAGTGTTAAAAGTGGGTCATTTAAGAGTGAAGGGAAGCCTGTAAACAGCCAGTTGCTGATCTATGTGTCCATGTAGATTTCCGAGGCTGTTAGCTGAGTCACCGTTTGTTCCTTATTGGACAGGTGTTTCATCTGTGTGCCCCCCATCAGAAACACAAGCTTTGAAAGGTCCAGGCTTGGCCATTCCTGCCTCTCGGGTCAGTGCCCGCTCTGTGCTCTGACTTTGACTTAAGCTGTTCTGCATGTTAATTCATTCTTTCTTTGTATTGTAGGATCATGGATTTTCCTGGTCACTTTGAACAGATCTTCCAGCAGCTGAACTATCAGAGACTTCACGGCCAGCTCTGTGACTGTGTCATTGTAGTGGGGAACAGACATTTCAAAGCCCACCGCTCGGTACTAGCAGCGTGCAGCACGCATTTCCGAGCCCTGTTCTCAGTGGCAGAGGGAGATCAGACCATGAACATGATCCAGCTGGATAGCGAGGTGGTGACGGCGGAGGCTTTCGCCGCGCTGATTGACATGATGTACACCTCCACGCTCATGCTGGGGGAGAGCAATGTCATGGATGTCTTACTGGCAGCCTCTCACCTGCACCTGAACTCTGTTGTTAAGGCATGTAAACATTACCTGACGACACGGACGCTGCCCATGTCTCCCCCCAGCGAGCGTGTTCAGGAGCAGAGCGCCCGCATGCAGCGCTCCTTTATGCTGCAGCAGCTGGGACTGAGCATCGTGAGCTCCGCCCTCAGCTCCAGCCAGAGCGGCGAGGAGCAGCCAGCCCCCATGAGCTCCTCGATGCGCGGTAACCTGGACCAGCGGACACCCTTCCCCATGCGCCGCCTGCATAAGCGCAAGCAGTCTGCGGAGGAGCGGGCCAGACAGCGCCTCCGACCCACCCTGGATGAGTCTGCCATTTCCGACGTGACACCAGAGAATGGGCCGGGGGTTCATTCCCGGGAGGAGTTCTTTTCTCCAGATTCTCTGAAAATCGTGGACAACCCTAAGGCCGATGGGATGGCCGACAACCCGGATGACAGCACCATCATGTTTGACCAGTCTTTCGGCACTCAGGAAGATGCCCAGGTGCCCAGCCAGTCTGACAACAGCGCCGGCAACATGGCCCAGCTCTCCATGGCCTCCCGTGCCACTCAGGTGGAGACTGGCTTTGAGCAGGAAGCCACAACCGAGAAGAGTGGCTTCCAGTGTGAAAACGCGGAGGTGGGCCTCGGTGAGAAGGAGCACATGAGAGTTGTGGTGAAATCTGAGCCCCTGAGCTCCCCAGAGCCGCAGGACGAAGTCAGCGACGTGACCTCCCAGGCGGAAGGCAGCGAGTCGGTGGAGGTGGAGGGGGTGGTGGTCAGTGCTGAGAAGATAGACCTCAGCCCAGAGAGCAGCGACCGGAGTTTTTCAGATCCCCAGTCTAGCACTGACCGGGTAGGGGACATCCACATTTTGGAAGTCACCAATAACCTCGAACATAAATCCACCTTTAGTATTTCAAATTTTCTGAACAAGAGCAGAGGAAGTAACTTTAGTACCAATCAGAACAATGACGATAATCTCCCAAACACAACTAGTGACTGCAGGCTGGAGGGGGAGGCCCCTTATTTGTTGAGTCCGGAGGCCGGGCCTGCGAGCGGGCCCTCCTCGGCCCCTGGTGCTCATGTGGAGAACCCATTCAGCGAGCCTGCAGACCCCCACTTTGTCAGGCCCATGCAGGACGTGATGGGCCTCCCGTGTGTGCAGACCTCAGGCTACCAAGGAGGAGAACAGTTTGGGATGGATTTTTCCAGGTCCAGTTTGGGGTTGCACTCCTCCTTCTCCAGGGTAATGATGGGTTCCCCTCGAGGAGGAGCCAGTAACTTTCCATACTACCGCCGCATAGCTCCCAAAATGCCAGTGGTAACTTCTGTCAGGAGCTCACAGATCCCAGAGAATTCTGCCAGTTCCCAGCTGATGATGAACGCGGCCACATCGTCATTTGAAAACGGCCACCCTTCGCAGCCCGGTCCCCCACAGCTGACGAGGGCATCTGCTGATGTCTTGTCAAAGTGCAAGAAGGCCTTGTCGGAGCACAACGTCCTGGTTGTGGAGGGGGCTCGCAAGTACGCCTGCAAGATCTGCTGCAAGACCTTCTTGACCTTGACAGACTGCAAGAAGCACATCCGCGTCCACACAGGCGAGAAACCCTATGCCTGCCTGAAGTGCGGCAAGAGGTTCAGTCAGTCCAGCCACCTGTACAAACACTCGAAGACCACCTGCCTGCGCTGGCAGAGCAGCAACCTCCCCAGCACCTTGCTCTAGCCCGACCTCGAGATAACGCCGATGCCAGGAGGAGGCCCGGAACTAAACTCTCTGGTTGGTTGGTGGTTAATGCCGCGGGGTTTAAGACTTCAGGCTGTGAGTGGCTCATGCAAATTTCGAAGACTAGTAAGTGCAGAGTTAACAGGTGTAGTGCTTGTGCTGCCGCGTTTCTGAGTACAAGGGACACATTTCAGAGGCGGGATCCAGTCCCTGAAACCACGCTCTTCCTTAGGGTTGAGTAACGCAGTTGGAAAGTAGTCTCTAATTGATGTTAGAAGTGGCACATTGAACAATTAAAACTTGAAGTGCAAAACAATTTTTTTAGCAATTTTTGTAAAACTGAAGCATTTAATTAAATTTCCTATATACCTTCTGATGAGAATATTATATACTTGTATACAGTGATGCAAAACGCACTTATGTGTAACCAGTGGCAACTTTGTGCCTGTCTAAAAGGAACACCCTTGAGGACACGCCTGTCTGCCAGAAATGCTTTAAAGTTTATCATGAGCTAGTTCTAGGCTTCAGAAAGTACTGTATTTTTTTTTTTGTCTGATTTGCAGTCACAGATGCTGCACTTTGATGGTGCTGACACTGGGTCCAGAGCGAGCATTCTCTGGACTAACAGGTGTGTATATACTTTTGAAAACATCATCGTTAGATAGACGTTTTAACAATTTTTCCCAGTTTTAAAGACAAAGTTGTAAAAGGAGTATGTACTTATTAATAGGGAGCGACAAGTAAGGTATTGTTTCTGTATGTGCTGTTTTAGCGGTATTTTAACCAACTTGTATCACACGTTACAGTTTGGAAGTCAGAAGAGCTAGTGTTCGTCTTTGTTCTGATGATGTGGAGTCCTGTTTAGTGGGATCTTTTACGGCGCATTTACCCTTTGTTCCGTGCAGATTTCGGGGGCCGGTCCAGCCTGACACATCTCACCCAACGACAAGCCCGTTCTCTGCTTCGCTTCTTCACACACTCATGCCACTTACAGCATCTTTCCTGGGCCTAGATTACTGTTTTCAGGTAAAAAAAACTAACCAAAAGTGAAGTCAACCCCCCTCCATCGTGGGCTTTATTACTGTTCTATGGTTTTAAAGTACAGACCCTGAGCTTCAGTTGTTGCCCCAACCCAATACTTAAGGTTTAAAATCCAGACACAGCAGTGGTCATGGGTAAATTTTCCCATCTCTGTAAGAGGATTGGGCAGCCCAGAACATAGAAGCCACCAGGCAGCATCTGAGACAGTCTGAGGAGACCTCTGGGTGACTGACCTGGCCTTCTCTGGGCCGCCCCTGTGGCCTTCCAACCCTTTGGGCAGCATCTGTTAGGCCGAGCCCTGGCTTGAGAACTTCCAGGGGAACAGCACAGGTATTTGTCTCTGTAGAGCTCATGAAGTCAGTTTAATTCGTACATGAGTTCATTTTTTTGTGCAGCTTATTTGAGACACCCCAAACCATTGTGCATAACTGAGCAAAATCCTTCAGTTCTTGTGTTAAAGTAGTCAGCATGCGTCTTCTCTTAATCTAGCATATGCAGTTTACATGTCTGTCTGTGGATAAACTCATAATGCTGTCAGATTTATCATCTCCTATGAACTGATTCCCAGGGAGGAAAGGGAAGGCTTCCTTCCCAAAAGGGAAGCCTCTGGTCCCTCTCCTGACAGGGGAGGGGAGAGGTGGGGAGGCAGGTGGAGGCCATGGGATCACCTGTGAAGCTTGGTGTGTGTGTGTGGAAAATTGTTAGTCGTCATGCTCTGACGATGTGATGAGGCTCTACATCCACCCCTCTGGGGAACCAGTGACTTGTGAGATCAACCCTGGGAGGCAGGCGGGTCAGCGTGGAGGGAGAGAGGCCCTGCCTGGCTTGGGAAGAGGAGTTGGCGGCACAGAACAGCAGTCGCCCTCCTCCCCTTCCACCTTGAGGAAGAGGTGCCGGGAGGTGGCCCCCCACCTGAGCTCAGGCTTCAGTGGACTTGCCTCGGGGACTGACAAGTGGCTGAAGCCCTGCCTCTCCACTGCCCGCTGGAGTCTGGAATCTCTCATCTACCTCTTAGTCAATCAGTTTCTATGTGTGAGAAGCAAGGCTGTGGGCCGGTGTCCTTGTACATGCTGTAGCACTTAAATAATTCAGAGGTTCCCTGGACGACCAGTCCCAGGGTTCTTACAACTGGTAGTTTCTACCTGAATTTTAAGTGGTATTGGGTACCTGGATTTTGATTGGTTAGCCTTAATTATAGCTTGGCATAATCATTTCTGGTGACCAAATCATAAAGTTCTATCAGGGCACCTGTGTCAGTGGTGCTATGCTGGTCAAAATTTGACACTTTCAAATAAAAGCTTTGTCATATTAATGCCTCTAACTAATTATGTGTTCTTTTTCTTCACCTTAGGTTATTAAGGTTGAAACAAAAGAGTGAAGTAGTATTGCTTTTTCTGCTAACCCTGCTGTTACCAGCACTTTGCTTTAAAGCAGGCATCTTAGAAAAACAGTACTCTCACGCTGCCGGTACCAAGCACTGGTCATTAGGCCCTTGCGCTTTTCGCCTCTGCACTGTGGACGGGGGTGCGGCCGTGTCCTCCTAGAGGGCCTGCCAACTGGTGTACTTCCTGCTGCTCCCTCCCTGACTCCTAGGGGAGAAACCCCTTTCTTCAGTCTGGCTCGGCTGCGGCAAAAAGCCGGAGCCAAGTCCCTTAGCAGGCGGGGGGCTTCGGCAGCACCGGCAGCCAGGCCTTAGGAGTGAGGAGGTGCTTAGTAAAGGGCCTCCACCTGGGACGGGAGTGGAGGAGGAGAGGGACACGAGGAACAACGTGTGAAGGTGCTGAAACCAATTTTAAAATAAAAATGAAAGAAGCCTACCTACCCTGATTATTCTTGACCAAAAAGTGAGTGTTGTGACCTTACCTAGTTCACTTCGCCACATGTATTTAATTTGCGTAACGGTCTAGGTAGCAGGTCCCATTGCTGTGGTCATCACTAGGCTGTGATTGTCCTGTCCTCAGTGAGGGAAACTTGGAGGCCTTTTGGCTGAGGCTAAGGTGGCTTGGACAGGTTCTAGGAATTCAAATGCTCGGGGGTGGGGACAGGAGTTGGAAGCAGAACCTGGAGTCACTAGAGGCCCTGGCTTGGGAAGGCCAAAGCAGACACTCTTGTTGGTTTCTCCCTGTTACATGTCCAGACATCTCTCCGAGAATTATTTAATAGAATTACACACTCGGGGCTCGGAGGCTTTCAACCACAAAAGTGCAGCCCATGTGTTAGCACCAGTCTTCCCTCTGCAGAGAGGGTACAGATCAGACTTCCTCCTCTGGCTCCCAGCCTGTGGGTCCAGCCAGCCAGGGCACGTCTGACAGAATCCCAGGGCCACTTGCTTCCTGGCCCGCAGAGTCCCCGTGAGGCTACAGCTTGAGCTCATTGGGCATCGGCTCCCCTCGCAGGCCAGCCAGCAGGTTGTCAGCCGCCAACACAGACATGATGTTTCGGGTTCTGTAGGTGGCACTGCCAATGTGCGGCAGGATCACTGGAGAGGAGAGGAAGGACGGGAAATGAGAAGGGTGGTTCCAGAGCCTTACGTCGCGCTGGGGTCTGCCAGGAAAAAGAACAAGGAGGACCCCCCCTCACTTCTATTTGCCTTCCCTCCTGTCTCAAAGCACTCCTCTCCCCGGGCCACCAAACCCAGATGCAAGGGTGACAGATATGCATCTTGAACAGGAGTGTCAGGGTCAGAAGGGGTCCCAGAGCCTCTCCAGACCCGCCCTTCACATACCAGACAGTGACACCAGGTGCCACTTTACCTGCTCGTCCACACCGTGGGCCCCTCCCTGAAGGCCCCAGGCCTCTGATCTCCCGAAACAAGCAGATGAGAGGCTGGACAGCACAGTGCCCTCTGACCCCACTGCAGAGCGAGTGGGGTCAATGGTCCCCAGAGAGTGCCTTTTGAAAGCAGTCCCCAGGGCACGGCGCTGACTGCCCGGCCTCAGGAATGGGAGTTTTCCCAGCTCTGGGCAACAGCCTGGCCGACACAGCCAGCGCTCCCTTCACCCAGGCACAGGGTGGGGACGGTAGTGCCTCCAAGGGCTGTGATGACAGGAGCAGTCAGGAGGGGAGGCGGCCACAGGCCTTCTCTTTGGTTTTCCATTCCAGAGGGTGAGCAAAGGGCAGGACTGGCCCAGACGGCCCGCGGCCCTAACAGTTATGTATTAGTCTGGAGACCGAAACCAGACCAGCTACCTGAATAGAGAGAACGTAATATAAAGAACTGTCAACTCACCACAGAACTGTTAACAGTAACTGAGGAAGCTAAAGAGGAACTCTAAGTACGTGGTTCTCACAGTGCTCCCGGGCCGAGTAGCAGCCACGTGCGAGATGTCAGACACATCGTCAGGCCCCACCCGGGACCTACTGAGGCAGATGCCCGTGGGGGCCCGGAACCATGTATTTGGTCAGTCCCTCCAGGTGCACTAAGGTATCACCGCGGTGGTGATGCCAAACCTCCCCTGGGGCTAGGGGATGGGGGAGAGGAGTGAAGTGAAAGTCGCTCAGTCGTGTCCGACTCTCTATGACCCCATGGACTATACAGTCCATGGAATTCTCCAGGCCAGAATACTGGAGTGGGTACCCTTTAACTTCTCCAGAGGATCTTCCCAACCCAGGTCTCCCGCATTGCAGGAGGATTCTTCACTAGCTGAGCCGAAAGGGAAGCCCCACAATATTGGAGTGGGTAGCCTATCCCTTTCTCCAGTGGATCTTCCCGACCCAGGCATCGAACTGGGGTCTCCTGCATTGTAGGCGGATTCTTTACCAACTGAACTAGAGAGGGTGGGGTGGTTAGAACTTAGAAGACTGAGGGGGGCCTTCGGAGCAGTGCCTCTGCCTCTGATGACTGTGGCTTGTGGTTCTGAGGGGCACGGTGCCTAACCCGAGTGTCTGGGAGAACTGTCACTGGCTTCATCAGCCACGGTGGGAAAGAACCACCGCCGGGAGAAGTGTTGCTGGCCAAGGGCGGTTCTTACCACAGTTCTTCAGGGTCAGGAGAGGGTGGTTAGTAGGCAGTGGTTCCGGGGTCGTCACATCCAGTCCGGCAGCTGCGATCTGGCCGCTGGCCAGGGCCTGGTAGAGGTCGTCCTGGTCTACCACTTCTCCCCTGGGGATGACGGTGGGTGTCCTGAGGCACTGTTAATATCTAGGAAGGGACTGGAGTGGCTGAGAGGGGAGGTCTGCCCCCGTAACACACTCAGTGGACTAGAGGCACCCTGCGCACATTTTGAGGACCCAAGACAACCTGGGGTTTGGGTCTGTCTTTCCAGAAGTGTGTGAGTCCAAGCTCACTGACTCACTGACAAACTCAGGCCCAGGGCCATGAAGGCTGGCCTCTTAACGGGCTGTAAAGTCTGTCAAGTCCAACCGTTCGGGATTTGAGGAACAAAGTTACATAATTTGCTGCTATGGTGCCTTCACTTCCTGAGCAAGGTCAAGGTACTGCTGGGAACCAGACCAGGCCCTGCTCTAGCTGGGACGTGCTCTGGGGCGCTTACTGTCCTCCTGAGGTGAGTGGTTGACTGGTTTATGGAGAGCAGTAGACTCAGCCTGAGTCTCATCGACAGCCCATGGGGATCACAACAGCAGGGGCAGCCCCTCTCCAGGCTCGCCTGGTGACCCAGGATACCTGCTGATGTTGATAAACACGGCTGTTTTCTTCATCCACTGGAAGAAGTCCCTGTTGCAGAGCCCCCTGGTCGCCAGCGTTAAGGAGCAGGCCACGACGATGAAATCGGACTCGGCGGCCAGCTCGGGGGTGGACACTGGGGGAGCGCGGGGCTCCATCAGATGCTGCGTCCCGGGCAAGGACAGCAAGAGGCTGGGGAACCGGACCCCTCCCTCCCTCCTCCCACAGTGGGAACTCCCAAGATGCTTCCGACGGCGGCATCTCCGCCTGGACAGCTCTGATAGCTACGCAGTCAACGGCCACTCACGGGATCCCAATGTGTCACATCCTTCAGGCAGCCCCCTGCTCGAGCAGCGGGGAAACAGGCCAGAGAGGAGCAGAAGCTTGCTCAAGGTCACACAGCGGGGATCCAGGCCACACTGCTTTCACCTCTTTCAAGGCCCAATGTGCCCACAGGGTGGAGTGGCTGGAATCTGGCTTGCCTTCTGCTCACCCCGCTGTGCGCCTGCCAGGGGGCTGGATTCACCCAGAGGCAAGGCTGAGGGTCAGCGCTCACCAGTTTGTTACGGAAACCATGAGCGAAGGTTCCCAGCAGTTCCTTACATGCATCATACATGTGCCCATTCGTTAGATGGTGTCACCATCCCTACTGCTCTAGGCACGTGGACCACGGTGAGGAGGGACCTGGCAGGACAGGAGACCCGGGGTCTCTGAGACGAGGGGACTCGGTGTGGCCAGGCTGAGTCCCTGCGCTCCCCGAACGGGCCTCTGCATGCAGGGCAGGGAAGTCAGACAGAGCCTACGGGCCATCACAGGCCTTGTAGAGCGCCTGCACGCTGCCCCAAAGCACTGCCATCACAGCAAACATGGAGAACCGCCTGGCCAAGCACAAGGGCCCTGCGGAAATCCAGGTTTTACTTACCAAACTCTGCCTGGAATTCCGCTGCTTCCTGAGGCCTGGGCTGGCGCCCTGTGTAGAGAAATCTCTGGACACCGAATGGCTTCAGACGCCGAGCTATGGCCTGACCTGGTGGCAAGGAGTCCAGAGTCAGCGCTTGTTCCCAAGCCCTCACAGAGCGAGGGCGGGAACAGCGCCCAGCGGCTCCAGGGAGGGGAGCCCCTGGGGGAGGGCTGGGGGGCAAGGCCCGTTAGCTAATCCTGCCACAGGGCACCAGCCGCACCACCCCACACTGCCCTCAGCCCAGGGGTCCGTCCTCCAGCGACCACAGCTCCTATGCGGCTGTGACTGGCCTGTGCTGTGGTCTGGCCATCTTGAGGGCCACTTCTAACCTTCCCTGAGCACTGGACGGACCTGGCAGCCCAAGAGAGGTCTGACCACACGGCCCCCTGCCTCCTCTGGACCCTCTGCTTCTGTTAATGCAGCCACATGCCCCAGATGACTATTTGATGGCACTGCCAACTCGCCCCACCTCTTAACACCTTTCCACATACGCTGCTGCCAAGACGGGCTTGGGCAGCTGGATTTTCTGACTCAGAACATGCCCTAAAGCTGCTGGGTTCCTCCAAGCAACTCCCTAGTGTGGGAGGCAGGGCTGCCAGCTAGCCAGGCAAGTTATGCCCACTTCCCACCCTCACCCTCGCCTCTGCTCCAGGCAGGATGCCAGACTTCTCCAATGTTGGGGCCACTGGAAAAATAGCTCTGCCCTGCCTCAGAATCACAGGTAAGCTCTGTCCACTGGACCCTCTGGTTTCTGTGTTAAGGCTTCAGGAGTCAAATGCCTTCTAGAAACCAGGCCTCGGGGAGCAGGGCTCCCCAACCCCTCAGCCATCACTGCTTCATCTGCTCTGTACGGAGCTATAATCATAAAGAACCCTGGCAATAACAACTCGCACCTATCACCTAGTGACTTCTTAAGGAACTCATTTTATTTTTTGGCCTATCTTTTACGATGCTGTGCCTTCTCGCTGAAGATATCCCTACTGCACACAGGTATCCTTCCCAAAGACGGATTGTCAACATCCAGACACAGTGCTGGAGATTCTAACCAAGACATGTGAGCCAGGAAGCCAAACGGGTAGACGGAGCCTCACCTATGCGCCCCAGGCCAACGATGCCGACGGTGCTCTGTGAGAGGCCGTGGCCACACATCCACAGGGGTTTCCATGAGGTCCAGCCGCCGCTGCAGGGAGGGGGGAGGGGGGCAGGTGAGAGGCCCTGGCTTTGGGCAAAGATGAGGGCTGCTGCACGGACCCCACATTCCCAGGCAGGGGCTGTGGTCCAAGGGACAGGCCCCACCCTTCAGTTAAGGATGGAGGGGACCACAAGTTACACCTACAGCCACTCGGCACTGCGGATAAGCAGTGGGAATGACTTCTTTTAAAGCCACTGGGGACACAGAATCTGAGGGCTGGAAAGCTGCTTAGGGGTTCTCCTCCCTTTCTGCAGACAGGGAAGCCGAGATCAGAAAGGGCGACTTGTGTGAGGTCACACAGCCAGGGCAGAGCAGCAGGTTGCAAACCTGGAATGTGGGATTCGCAAACCAATGTTCTCAGTGCTCCAGGGAAAACACAGGCCCACCCCGCTGCCCTGGACCGACGGGGGAACACAGCCTATCTTGAGTCACCTCTGATGAAGGGGCCAACTCCCTGGGCAGGAGGGTGGGAGGGACACTCAGCACTGTGTCTACTCAGCCCCACGCAGCCTCGGCCCTGCCACACCTCCACCACGAAGCCCCTCTCCCGGTCCACATTCTCTGAGCGCCGGCACCTGCACACCTCCTGGCCTTGGCTCGGGTCAGTGCCCCCCAACTTGGGTGCTTTCCCCGATTCTAGATGTACAGCCCACATCTCAATCTGAAACTCCCAGGTCAAATTTTTTAATTTTTCAGATTTTAGAAAAGGGGTCAAGTATATATGCTGTATTCTACATAACACACTCGACAACATCTGGGGTGGCACCTGTATCAAACCCATCAGTGTATCTGCAGCAACATGAACAACCTCCAGTCTTCAGAGCCTTTTGGATCCACGTAACGGCAGACAGGGCCCTTTGAGGATGCCCACCGGCTACTTCTCCTGCAAAGCCTTCCCTGAGCCACACTGCACCCCTACAATTTCCCTTCATGCCCTGTTTCAGCTCCGCTGTGCACTTTAGTATCTTGCCTGGATCTGTCTCCCTCATTAGCTGGGGCACAGCTGGGGGTGAGATCAGCTCTGGGCCAGGGGTGGCTCTGAGTGCTCAAGTGCTGAGCTGAGCCAACGTCCCCCCCCGCCGGCGTTCACTCACTTCTTCACCTCCTCGATGGCCTCCGGCAGCCGGCGACAAGTGGTAAGCAGCAGGGAGACGGCGAGCTCGGCCGTGGCGTCGGTCAGGACACCCGGAGTATAGCCCACACGGATCCCACTGTGAAGCAAAGAGCTGGTGGTAACAATGGCTTCAAGCACCTTCCCAATTTCTACTGCTGGGACACTGCTGGGATGCGGCTTTGTGCCTTCTGCGCTGCCTATTGGGAAGCTCAGAGCTGTAAGTGGGCACCCAGGAACAGCCAGCCCTCAATCCCCTCTTGACCATCTCCCGTTTTGAGGAGGATATAAGATGGAAGATCAGGCTCCAATGTGTGGAGCTCCAGTAACTATGATTACTTAATCTTTGTGAATTTCCTCATCTAAAGAGGGAAGTAATAATACTTGCCTTTTCTACTTGAAGGGGTTGATGTGAGGGTCAAAAAAAAAAAAAAAAAGAGTGAATGAGAAAGGATATTACCTGGGCATTGTTACCCACTGTTTCTGACTGCTTGGACTTAACTGACCTGTGCACACATGGGCAGAGTTTATCATTGGTCACCTCACACTTTCACCACATGGTCAAGGGATATGAAGGGAAAACAGACACGCAGCTCCTCTTTTTCCCTCTCTGGCAGTCGCCCTTCACTCCAGAGCCCAAGTTGCACTTACCGCTTCTTGATTTCATCCAAAGCCAAGTGGTCGACACCCACAGACATTGTGCTAATGACTTTGAGATTAGCTCCTGTTGGGCAGAAAAAGCCTTATTTGTATCTCTCGTCATGGGATTCAAGGCCTTCCCATATATATAGACGGGTCCAGAGAAGGGAGGGCCCTGCTAAAGGTCATAAACCAAGCCTGAATAGAGCTGGACAAGGGCCCAGGGCCCTGGCTCTCCTCCACACCATGGTCTTTGTTCTCTTAAGGCCACCCTCTGGGGACTCACAGCCAGCAGAGGGGCAAAGTGTGTGCCCCGTGGAACTGTGGTCTAGGACCACAGTGAACGCCCTCAGAGCTCTCGGAGCCCGCTGAAGACCTGCTTGGGAACCAGCAGCAGCAGCCCAAGACACCCGGGGACCCTCCCCAGGCCCGCACGGCGCACGCACCTGCAGCGTCCAGGAGCTTCTTGTCTATGCGGTCCGAGAGGAGGCAGAGCAGGCCATGGGCCCCGGCCATTCCCTGTTCCAGGTCCTCTCTGGGGATGGGCTCATCAGAATCCCACTGCTCCACCTCACAGCTGAAGACAAAGGAAAGACCACTCAGAAGTGGGGGAGCCCCACAGGTGCCCACAGGCCCCCAAAGCCCTCAGACCACACCCACAGGCCCTGTCAGTGGGAAACACTGTTTTCTGCTTGCCCTGGCCTCAAGCTGCCTGGGGCTGGCTGAGGGGAGTCAAGGTCGGGTGTGGGCGGCCTCAGAACTGTCGCGAGAGGGTGGCTGAAGGGTGAAGGCGGTCACGGTGCAGAGCTCTCCAACAAGGACTGAAAAGGGCCTAAGCTGAAAGGAGAAAGTCACGGGGACCATTCTCAGCTCAACACAAGAAGAGCTTTCTTACCCCCACAGGAGGCCTCAGAGGCAGCGAGCTCCCAGGCCAGGCTGCCTATTGGGAAGGCCAAGTGGGGGGTGCTGGCAGCGCTGGGCTTGGAGTCCTTGTCCAGTTGTACATCCTCTCCTCTGAGTCATGAAAGGAGCAACTATTGTTTGTGACTTTGTACATGTGCTGCGCTCTGCTTAGTCACTCAGTCGTGTCCGACTCTTTGTGACCCCAGGGACTGTAGCCCACCAGGCTTTTCTGTCTGTGGGGATTCACCACACAAGAATACTGGAGTGGGTTGCCATGCCCTCCTCCAGGGGATCTTCCCAACCCAGGGATCGAACCCAGGTCTCCCGCATTGCAGGTGGATTCTTTACCATCTGAGCCATGGACGAGACCAAAGCAGTTCAACATGGAGGAGTTTCAGGGGGAGCTTCCGAAGGGGCAGGTGGGCCCCAGGCATGTTTCCCAGCAGTGCTGCCCAGCCTCCGGCCCTTGACATTTAATTCAGTGCAGCCAAAACGTCTGGGAAATCTACATGCGCAGGACACAGAGCTGCTGGCACTTTCCAAAACTCCCTGCCCAGGCACCGGCCTCCTCTCAGCCTCCTTTCCTGGACAGAGGCCCAGCGCTGCGGCAGTGTGAGCGCCGCTCCTAGAGTTCTTGTCTTTGCCCTCCCCTCTCCCCCTCAATGCCTAGTACAATGCAAGTCTTCAGCAAAAGTTTCCTTGCACTAAACAAAAGAAACAAATCTCATTTCCCCCTGGCACTTGTTTCTGAGGCTGGGTCCACCTTCTCCTTGCCTGACCTGGGAAGTGAAAACCTGCATACTGCAGTGCTCAGACTGCCGCAGAGCAGATTTCTAATCCCAGCTGTGCCACCAATAGAGGCTGGCGAAGGTACCTGACCTCTCCCAGTTTCTCTGTAAAGTGGGAATCACAGCACTGATTTCACAGTGTTGAAGAATTAAGAGTTTACTCTTAAGAAGCACTTGGCAAGGTGCGTAGTTCGGTTTAAGAGGTGCTACCAGAGGCCCACTGCTAGCCGTCCAAAGGGACCAGATCAGCGGCTGCCAAGGCCCCTGACCCGTCCAAGTGACCTCAGAGGGTAAAGGATTAACAGCCTGGGCCTTGAGACATGGGCAGTCTCCCCTCTCCCCACGCCCATGACTGGGGAAGCCTCCAGCCTTCACCCCACCCCCACTGCAAGTGCCACGGGAACTGCGGGTCCCAGCGGCACAGCAACGGGCCTGGACAAAGCTTGGCCCCTGAGGACTTCCTCTAAGGTTCCCCAGACTCCAAGACCGTTCCAGCCAGGCCCGGGTTCGAAAGTTCGGCGAAGGCCCAAGAGCAGGACCCCAGTTCTCTCTGGCCCCACGGACCGCCGTGTCCGCCCCACCAAAAGGAAGTGGGTGGCGGGAGGCCGCCCCCCGGCCCGCCCGGAGACGCTGAGTCACCCGCGTGCGGGCTGCCCGAGGTCTCGGAGCGGTGCCCTGGGCTCCGCAACCCCTTCCCGCGACGCCACCCGCGGAACGCGCGCCCGGAGGGAGGGGACTCGGCGCGCGCAGCGGTCCGGGGGCGCCGGGCTCTTACTCTGCGGCCCGGGCGAGCGCGGCGCTGCCCTCGGGGGGAATCCTGCGCGTGACGAACACCTTCATGACTCTCAGTGGCCTCATCGACCCGCAGCCGCCGGATATTGGGCCCAGACGGGGCGGGCCGGACGGGGGCGGGCCCCGGGGGGGCGGGGCCGGAGCAGGCGGGGCGAGGGCGTGGATTGGCTCCGGAGCCGGGGCGGCTCCGGCTCCGGGTGTGCGCCCGGTGCATTTCTGTTCGTGTGATCAAACCGTCAGGAAACAGACTGGCTCTGGAGCTGGCGGCAGGCTCGTGCCCTTGGCTCCCAGGGCCCACCTGAGAGCCTCCGGTCGGTCTTAGGGTTGGGGTGGGTAAAGCGCAGCCACGGGACAGTCCTGTGTGAATGTGTGTGGGTGCCCGTGAAAGTGCCGACAGCTGTGCGGATGCTGCCTGCGCTGGGGGAGAAGGGTGCGGTCAGGGGTCATCCCCGTTCCCAGGGTCTGCTGCGCCTGGACCATCTTCTCCAGGTCTGTTCCATCATGGTCACGGTGTTCCAGGCAGCGGTCTTTGGCCACACAGACTGGACTCTGAGCCCGGCCTGTTGTGCAAACACAGGCGCCTGGACCAGGGCAGTCTGAACCCCAGAGTGACCTCCTTAATACTTGGTGCAATTTCCCATAGAAAGCCCACAGTTGAAAGCCACCCAGCTTGCCGGACACCTGCTGACTGGCCGGAAGCAGGTCAGGCATAGGGCCAGGGCCAAGATGCTGGGGTCATGGGGTCATGGGGTTATGGGCAGAGACTGGGGTCCCAGTCAGGTGGACAGGGTCTGACTCCCAGCTCTGTCACTTACCAGCACTGTAGTCTTGGTTGATGGGGTGATGAGCACTTACCTGAGTGTCATTGTGATTATTAAGCAGGCAGCACTGGCATGGGCCCTGGGCCATGTTTGATAGTCACCAAGCACCGAGGCCATGAGAGAGGTGAGGAGTTCAGGCTCCGGAGCCAGAGTGCCTGGGTTTAAATCGCAGCTCTGTGACCCACTAAGGACAAGTCTTAACCTTCTTTGTGCCTCAGTTTCCTCATCTGTAAAATAGGTGTGATAGTACTTACCTCCCTCATGGCTTGTTGAGAGGCTAACTGTGTACAGTAGTTACAAGCAGCAGGTATGTTGGGCTGCACCCCTCAGGCCTACAAGCCTTGTAGTTGTCCAGCTTCGAAACTGAAGAAAGAGCCTGCAGACAGAGATATCAGTGGTTTATTTGACAGGGGATCATACACAGAGGGTCCTGGAGCCACACCTTGCCAAACAGATGCTGGCAGGACATGGCAACAGTCTTTACTACCCGAGGGAGAAGGCTACCATTTACAGGAGGGAATTGGCATCAGGTGGGCTCACCGGTCACCAGGGACTAATTAAGCCCTCTAATTAAGAGCTTGGATAGTCATGTGAGTGAAGCAGGGACCAGTCAAGCAACAGATATACAGAGAACAAGGGAATAGCCACCGCGAATGGCCTAACCACACACGGTAACACATGTCACAGGTGCTTAATAAACAGTGACACATTCAAGGAACCCCACACCCTGGCGATAGCTGCTGGCCAGAGGTGCAGATGCTGAGTAAACCAGTGAGCGGGGCCCAGACCTGTCCCTCAGCTCTGCCGGCTTCATCTCTACCACAGGCCGTTCACGGACTTGCTCCCAGGCTTGGGAGCTTCCAGAAGGCAAAAGCCCTATCTGTTGGTCTCTTCTCTGTGGATGTTAACCTGAATCCAATCTGCCTCCTCACGGCCCACACAGGAAGGAGAGACAGGCCGAGAGAGGTGACATCTCCAGCCTGAGTTCACACAGAAGCCGCTGAAGGGGCCAGAGCTGGATGCTGGGTCACCTGGGTCCCTGGACGGTGCTCTGTCCTGCCATCTCCCCCTGTACGTAACATATCAGTGTCTTACCCACAGACTGCGATCTGCGGTGCTAGACCACCTCGAGGACAATTTGTGAAATACCTCAAACACTGAAACACGGTGTTTTTCTTTCCTCAGGCCAGGGCTTCTAGCCCTGTGGCTCCATCATCCGTTAATCAGTGGTGATACCCGGGTCCAGCTCCTCCCTCACACCGGGACAGGCAAGGACACTGGGCAAGTCTGGCCACCAGAGGCAGGAGGGGCTGTGACATGCCAGTGGGCCCCTCCTCCAAGGCAAAGCACCCAGCGGGTGCTCAGTAAGGGTTACCGGATGGTGGCTAGGGAGCCAGGGGATGGGGCCAACTGAGGGCCCAGGAGATGAAGCAATTGGGAGAGGATGGATCCGAACTGGAGGGGGATCCGGGCTTACCTGACCTGAGCTTCATGGGTTGCTGTTCTTGTTTAGTCGCTCAGTCGTGTCCGACTCTTTTCTGACCCTGTGGACCACAGCTCACCAGGCTCCCCCGTCCATGGGATCTCCCAGGCAGGAACACTGGAGTGGGTTGCCATTTCCTTCTCCAGGGGATCTTCCCACCCAGGATTGAACCCAGGTCTCCTGCATTGGCAAGTGGATTCTTTACACTGAGCCACCGGGGAAGCCCCTGGGGACCATGGAGGTGGTGAACTCACCCCTCAGAGTCAAGTTTCCCTGCACCCCTGTTTGTTGTCTTCACCTAGTGTACTAACTCAGCTGTTAACCCCTCCTCCATCCTTCAGGGTTCAGGAAGGCATTCTGGCAAGCAGAGCCTTCACTGCCTGAGCTCACTCTGCACTGCTCTGTCTCTCCCAGGCTTCAAGGGTGAAACAAACTAACAGGCAGCTAAGATTCATGGAGCCCTTGGTAAGTTCCAGCAGCCTGGGAGATACCTGGGTGGGGTATCAGGGCCTGAGGGTACTGAGGGTCTGGGGGTCAGGGCCACAACTCCAGCAGGAGGATGGAAATTTGGGACATGCAAAAATTCAAAATGACAGAAAGGAAGTTTTTGTAGAGCTTTTATAAATTCACTTTTGCATTTGAATCTTGAATACATTTGGAGTATTTTGTGTTTACAGTTTGACGGGGGTTCTCCTTAATGTTTTTCCAAAGGATCAGCCAATTATTCAAGTACTATTTTTAAATGAGTATTTTTCTTTAGTTTTGGAATAGGGAATGCTGGTTGACCAAAAATTTCGTTTGGGTTTTTCCATAACATCTTACAGGAAAACCCAAACAAACATTTTGGCCGACCCAATAAATGCAAGCTACAAATCCCCAAAGGTATACAGGGTATCACGTGAAAACTGCCTATTCCTGGCCTGCCCCCACCACTCAGATCATCTCCAGAGAGGCAGTCACACCTTTCCAGAGATGTTTAATGCATACAGGAATATGCATATAGTTTTCAGGTAAATGGTAGCAAATACCCTCCGCCTCACCCCGTTTGTTTTCACTGAGCAGCATATCCTAGAGAGTGTTGCGGATCCGGACACATAGAGGCACTTCATTCTTTTTATGGATGTGGACAGTTTCACCGTAGGAGTGAACCGCCATGAACAGTCCTCTCCTAATGGACATTTAGGGTGTTTCCATCTTTACTGTTACAGTGCCACCACAAGGAGCCTTTCACAAATGTCGTTTTGCGGGTGGGTAAATACATCTGTAAGATAAATTCCTAGAAGGAGAAGTGCTGGGTCAAAAAACGTGTGCTGTAAATTCTGATAGATACTGATAACATGCTTGTCAGAGAAGTTGTTCAGTTTACACTCCTATCAGTAACATATGAAAGCACCTATTTCTTCAGCATATTATTATTTTTAATGGTATCTTCTTGTAATTTTAATTTACAGTTCTCTTTTGAGCCAAGTTAAGCACTTTCATACATTTAAGACCCATTTCCTTTTCCATAAACTATCTATGGGTAGTCTCTGCCTACTCAGGTGAGCTGAGCATCTTTGCCTTCGTGATTTGTAGGTACTATGTGTACATTAGGAAATTAGCCCTTTGTCTATAATGAACTGCAAATATGGTCTTTCCCCCAGTTGTTTTTTTGTCATATGATTTTGTTCATTATTTTTAATGAAGACATTTTTATTCTTGTGGCTTCTAGGTTTTGTCACACACTGTGTACCACAGTGTATCTATTGTATCTATTTGAGATAAATTATCTCAAAACATAGTGGCCTAAAGCAACAGCAGTCATTCTCTTATTATCTCTGATCGTTTTGGAGGTTGGCTGGGCTCGGTAAGAGAGTCTGGTTCAGGCTCCTTTTTGCTGAGAAGTCGGATGGTGCCTGGGCCGCAGGCAGCTGAAGGCGTCCTCACTCAAGTGTCTGGCTGCCGAGGCCGGCCATCAGCTGGGCCTCTGCAAGGCCCCCGGCCTGTGGCCTGCGCGTTCTCACAGCCTGGAGCCTGGGCCAGTCCGGGAGACAGAACGGCGAGCTCTCAGGCACTTAGGGCCCGAGCCTGGAAACGGCACTGCCTCGCTTCTGCCATGTTCTCTCGGCCGCACGGTCGCTGAGCCCGGAATCAGGAGGTGACAGAGACCCCACCTCTTGATGGGAAGAGTATGGAAGACTCGGGGGGCTATGTTTTAAAGTTGCCTTTTCACAAAAAAATCTTTTTCACATGAGGTTTTTTTATATATATATATATATATATATATACACACACACACGTGTGTGTGTGTGTGTGTGTGTAATGCTTTCTAGGCTTGGTACCTTTGCAGTTTAATTTTTTACTGAAATTTTGATTTTTTTTTTCAGATAGCTAGCAAATTGTTCAACACCTTTTATGAAATAAACCATCTTTTCTATCATATACTAAAAGTGGGTCTTTTAGGATCTATTTCTAAATCGGATCTCCTGCTCTGGAACTTTCTATCTAGTTGTATGTGACTGGTCATCTGTGAGACAGTCAAGGGGTGTTGTTCTGGAAAGCACCAGGTTTGTGGTCATGTCATGCAGCCTCATACCCAAGGGTGGGACACCCCTGAGGGCCTCGAAGCAGAGAGCCAGGCCTGTGTGTGAGGCTCTGTGAGAACAAGGCTGGCTCATGAGACCTGCCTTGGCCGCACACTGGCCAGGTGGCAGCAGGCAAAGCGCTTCTGTCTGATCCTTGGTTTCCAAACCACAGAATGGGTCAGTCACTCCCTGTCATGGTGGTTGGTATGTGCCAGGGCCTCGGAGGTGCGCAGGAAATGCTGACAAATTGGGCCAAAGTTCATCCTCGCTCCTCGGCCAGCGGGAGAAAATGGGCCCCAGCCACGTTTATGTCCACTGTCTGCCTCCCTGTCCTCAGCGGTTCCACTCCCCGCAGCTGGGGCACGTGCCCCCTGCAGTCCCTTCTCCTGCTCCAGCCCTGGACCCTTCCTAGCCTTGGTCAGGGAATGCAGAGAGCTCAGGTCAGCCTGGCCGAGGGGTCTACTCGGCCCTTGGGCCTCTGTTCTGGTCATCTGGCTTCTGCCCAATTTCTGAGGCTGCTCCCTATTCCTGCCTTCTGAAACCTGGAACTTTAAGGGCCTGAGCCAGCCCAGTAGCCCTCCTGAGCCCTGCCCAGCTGACCTGGGGGCGTGCCTCCCTTTGTCCGCCACTGTTCCTCCCAGCCATGGTCCTCTGGGCTGGAGTCCCGCCGTGGCCCCCAGCGCTGACCTTGTGAACTAGCCCTCCCACACCCACTCCAGGCACAGAATAACACAGCCCAGCATGCATCCCAGAGACACCTGAATATCAAACAGAGCGGGGACAGCTGCAGCCTGGGAGGCCGGGAGAGCGCGGCTGCCTCGGAGGCCACAGCGAAGGGCTGCAAGAGGCGCCATGTAGAAAAGTGCCCACCAGTACAGGTGTCCATGGGTGCTGATCAGATCTCTGATTCAGAATTGAGGCCACTCAGCTGTTTATTCAACAAACAACTAGTAATAATATTATTCCAACATGCTATGAGAGCTGACATTTACTGAGTGCTAGCTGCGTGTCCACGGCTGCCCTTTACATGTGTTATCTCATTTCATCTTCACAGCAACCCTCTGTGGTGCAAAATTCACATTTTGCAGATGAGGAAACAGTTTCAGAAATGTTAAGAAACTTGCCCAAGCATTCACAACTAATAAGAGGATGAGATGATGTTTAAATCTAAGTATGTATGACTTTGTGCTCTTATTCCCTCTGTTCCCCAACCAGCAGCTGAGAAGAGATAGAGCAATGGTGTTCCTAATTTTGAGAAAGGTTCAAGGTGCTGAAGGAGGCAGAGAAACTAACTTGGGAGAAACCAGAAAGTCTTTTTTAGGAGCAGACGTTGAGCAGGGCCCTGAATCACGGGGAGGATTTGGAGAGGCAGCTGGGACAGAGGGGGGCCACTGCGGTCACTGGCCGGCTCTAGCAGAGCAAAGGTCCTGGCGGGGAAAGCACGGGCCCCAGAGGGGAGCCAAGAGCTGCTCTGGGCAGCTGGTCAAGCAGGGAGGGGCTGTGGCAGGCTGAGCTTTGCCCTCAAGCACAAGGACAGTGGGATCATGGACGCAGCAGAGTCGGGGAGAGCTGCTTCCTTTCCCAGAGTCCAGACTTGGACCACGGTCCTCTCTGCTGTGCCCTATTGGTACCCACACCCTTGCAAGACCCCTAGCAGGCAAGTACCTGGTGACTTGAGATAAGTCTCAACTGCTGGCCCGTCCCAAAGCCTGAGAGCACCCCACAGGGCCAGGACCCCTCACTCTGCGGGTGGGTCACGGCCAGGAAAGTCTCCCTCCAGCTCCCCATGCTGGCCTCTGAAGCCCTCTCCTTTTCTCAAGAGCCCAGGGTTCCCGCCCTTCTCAGCAAAAGGCTCCTATCAGCCATGCACACTCTACTAAAAAGAACCCACTTTCCATGCGTATCCGCATCTCATTCTGGGCTCCAAACCAGCTTTCTCTGAAATGGAAATTTCATTGAAATGTCTTTATTATATCATAAATCCATCATGAACCTTTTCCAGTGAGGTTATCACTCCAAATCCAGAAAAGACAAAGGCAATTCAACTGTCCAAACAGAGGCTGTGCAAACAAGACCTTACATGAGATATGGAAATATAAACTGGGTTCCTATGAGCTCTGACAAGATACTGCCCCTCTCTGGGCCCTGATTCTTCAAGGAGATGAACTAGAGCAGAGATTGGCAAAATTTTTCTGCAAAGGGCCCACTTGTAAATATTTTAGACTCTGTGGGCCATATATTACTGTTGCATTACTCAGCTGTGGCCATCATAGCCTGAAAGCCACCACAGACAACACGTCAGCAAATGGGCATGGCTGTGTGCTAATGCAACTTTACATATGAACATTGAAATTTGAAGTATTGTACATATAATTTTCTTGTGTCGTAAAATTCCTAGATTTCTTCTTTTTAAGCGAGACTCATTCTTGCCTGGGCATCGTACAAAAATACGTGGCCAGATTTGGCCCATGGCTGCAGGTCACCCCCTGACCTCTGGCTGGAGCAGAGCTTCTCACTGTAATGTGCACATGAATTACCTGGGGATCTTGTTAAAATGCAGATTCTGATTCAGTAGATGTAGGGCTGACCTAGGAAGCTGCATTTCCTGTAAGTGATGCTGCTGGGTCACAACACACTGTGGGCAAGGGGGTGGGGATGTTCCAGCTCAGCCACTCGGAGACCATGAGTGATGCTTTGATTGCGATCCCGCTGTTCACCGAAGAAGCGCTCATTCAGAAGTCTGGACACGGGGCTCCCAGTGTTTTCGCACAGCCTCCACCCGTGTCCTGGTTTCTCTTGCTTACTTCCTTATTTTTTGTTTCTTCTCTCTCACCTCCTGTCACAGAACATACGATCCCTGAGAGCAAGGACTTCGTTGCTTCCCACAGGCTTGCGCGTGGCAGATGTTCAGAAATACTGGCTGAAGAAATGAGTGAATGATCCTGGATCTTGTTGGCCTCCCTTCTGGCGCATCTCCGCGGCGACCTTGTCGCTCTATCTCCACCTAGTGGACACTTCGGTGTACTGCGGGGCAGGGGAGAACGCTCCACGTGTGTGACTGAACCCAAGCAGGAGGTGCCCGGAGCCGCGGCAGGCCGAGATCCGTCCCTTCTGATGCCGCTGCATCTGCGTTCTTGTCTGCTGGAACAGAGCTCCTCGGAGGAGAGCCTTCCTGGAGGAGGCAGCGTTTGAACTGAACAACGAAAGCAATAAGACTGAGAACGGTGGGAGTGAGAGGGAGGAAAGGCATTCCTGGTAGGAGGAACAGCATGAGCAGGGGCCTAGAGGCTGGAAAGCCTGGGCGTGTGCCAAGGGGACGAGGCACACAAGCAGCTGGGATGGGAAGTGGAAGGAGAGCCAAATAACGGCACAGGAGGAGGGGAAGAGGCCCCAGGGAACGGCCCCACTTGGTGTCTGACCCATGCCAGGCAGGCCATCTAGTCTGCAGAGTCCAGGGAGGCAGAGTGTAGCCCCCCCACTTTACATCCGAAGAAACTCAGGCCTAGATGGGTGAAGTGCCTTTTCCGAGGTCACACAGCTGATAAAGGGCAGAACTGAATTGAGATCATCTGATCCTTTCCTCCCTGAGGGGAGTGCCTACCCCTGATTTGTGCTTGAAGTGGGTGTGTGGTGCTGGGGCATATGCAGGAAGCTAGGAGCTGGGGTTCCAGACACCCAGAGGCCTGGGCACTTAGCTCCTCCACGTGATCTCAAGGCCTGGCAGCTTCATCACCTGGGAGCCTCCCTCTGCTCACGCTCATGGTCCTAAAGCCCTGGTCTGGGGGCAGGATGCCTGGGTTCCAGTCTGGGCTCCCTTCACCTCTCTGGGCCAGAGGGTACAATGGCTCTAATGACTGGTGAAAGGATCTCAGAGATCTCTTACTTGCCCATTATACAGATATGGAAACTGAGGCCCAGAGATGGACAAGAAGTCCCCTGATAATACACACCAAGCTAGGCTCAGTGTGGCTTCCACCTTGGCCTCTGCATGGGTTTGCATCTGATTGCTGGAAGCTAATATGGCCATATGGACCTGAGCCCTGGGCAGAGAGGAAGCAAAGGCCCATTTGGGCCGCCTTGACCAGCCCAGGCCGTTGGATAATGTGTTTGAGTTTCAGCTCCCAGTGAGGTGTGTCTGGGGGATGAGGTTAGCGTGTGGAGCCGTAGGCTGGTGGAAAGGGAGGGAGGCTTAGCAGGACCTGCCCACAGGCTTTGCAGGGGCTGGACTCACCAGAGCACAGAGGGATGGGGGTGACCCAGCTCTCTCAGCAAACCTCGATCGCCCCTAGACTTTCAGCCCTGCTGTAGCTCTGCTCCCAGCAAAGGAATCCTCCTGCCCCTTTCTCAGCCCCTCAGCCTGCTCTTCTGGGGAGCAGAGGACCCCAGCCTGGGGGACTCTCTTCCATCCATGCTGAGCCCAGCTCTGAGTCAGATGTGAGACAATGTAAACTTCACCACCACACGGGCCTGACAGCGGCACTGTTAGGGTTCCTCCAGAAAACTGAGGCTCAGAGAGGCAGAAGGACTCGCCCAAGGCCATAAGGTATCCTCAAACCCAAGACAGAGTGACACCACAGCATTTGACCACAACACCCACGACTCCTCTGACCCAAGCCAGCAGCCAGCCCCTCCATGTGCTAACTTGACTCCGACCAACACACTCCACTTTCCCTCTGACCCGCATCGTCCTCCTTCCCTGCCCATTGTCCCCACAAACCAGGGGGAACACCAGGGCAAGGACAGGGGAGGATCCAAGGCTTTTGTGAGACCTCAGGACCCGGCCGGCGGGGGACACTCCACAGACATCTTCCCCATGAATGAGGGAACCCCTGCAAGGGTGGACACCATCCCCATTTTTCAAACTGAGGGCCAGTAGGGGGCGGTGACCTGCTTGGGCCACCAGCAGGCTCCAAGCAGAGCGCCAACCAGCCTGGGCCTCTTGCTGCCCAGACTCAGGTTCCCTCCATGGGACAATGTGGCTTGAAGCCCCCCAGCAGCTGTACAAAGTCCTGTGTGTGTGTGTGTGTGTTAGACGCTCAGTCATGTCTGGCTCTTTGCGACCCCATGGACCCCATAGCCCGCCAGGCTCCTCTGTCCATGGCATTCTTCAGGCAAGAATACTGGAGTGGGTTGCCATTCCCTTCTCCAGGGGATCTTCCCAACCCAGGGATCGAAGCCAGGCCTCCTGCATTGCAGGTGGATTCTTTGTCATCTGAGCCGTCAAGGAAGACCACAAATTCCTGCATGTGGACCCCAAGTGGGCAGCGCCCCTCAGATGCTGTGAGCCCACTGGCTCGCAGACACCTGAATCTGCTTGGGTGGAGATGAGCAGGGGAAGGACCGCAGTCACATCTGCAGGGCTCCCTGCAACAGGAGCAGGTTATTTCTGCTGGGGATTTCTACCAGCGCCGTTTCTGCAATCTTTCTCAGGGCATGGCTGGGGTTTAGTAATGAGCTGTAACCACCTGAATACTGGGTTCTGTGAGCTGAGAACTGTTCATTCTTACATGAGGAGGGCTCCTCTTTCCTTGATGACTGAGTTCAGTTGTGGCAAGGGGTGGGGGAGGTTGGGAGGCAGGGATCCAGGACCAGAAGAACAGCAGTGCTCACACGGGGCTGGAGCCCGGCGCCACCTTTCTACAGATGGAGCCGTGGAGGCCCAGGGCAGCTGCAAGGCTGGGGGCAGCAGAACTCCACGTGCAGACAGGACTGTGGGTGTGGTGGGGCTGCGCATGGGGTTCCCCAGAAGGAGGCTCTTAGCTGAGGATTCCAATGCAAGTGATTTACCCAGGGAAGTGCTCCCAGAATGAGCCTGGAAAAGGCTGGGATCCAGGAGGGGTGGAGGTGGGGAGGAGGGAGAAGATCAGTTCAGCCCAGTTGCTCAGTCGTGTCAGACTCTTTGCGACCGCATGGACTGCAGCACGCCAGGCTTCCCTGTCCATCAAACATGGTGCCATTTCTGGTCGCCTCCTGCAGAAGGAAACTTCAGTCTGATCCGAGGGGGCCCTGGAGTGTAAGTTACACGTCAGGGTTCTCAAAAGCCCAGGCAAGGGAGCTGGGCTCCGCTGGTCCCGGCAACCACGAGTTTGCACCATCCCAGGAGGCCTGAGTGCAGCTTCCTGGAGGAGGAGGTGCGGCCTTGCCCTGTGGTGTGCAGCAGGATGTGCAGTTCTGGCCCAGGCAGGTCACTGTCCCCTACTGACCCTCAGTATTCCCGTTTGAAAAATGGGGATGGTGTCCACCCAGCAGGGGTTCCCTCGCTGAGAAGATGTTTATTGAGTGTCCCCTCGGCTGGGTCCTGAGGTCTCACAAAAGGCTGGGATCCTAGCCTGTCCTTGCGCAGGTGTTCCTCCTGCTGAGGAAAAGGGCTTGACAGGGACGCCAGAGAGGAGCTCAGGCATGCTGCCAGAAGGCTAGGGTGGCCACCGCCGGAAGGTCAGGGCGGCCACCGTCGGAAGGCCAGGGCGGCCACCGTCGGAAGGCCAGGGCGGCCACCGCGAGGACAGGCCGAG